TTGTGTAGTTTTCATTTAATTTAGTTTTGAAATATAAGAATAAAAACCAGTGTAACTCATTAATCCTTACAGTTAGAATAATAATTTTTTATTATTTGTCATTATTAACTTCATATATTTTTATGGTAATACCAAAAATTGTTAATTTAAATAAAAATTTTTAGTTTGACATGGTGTTTGTAAAAATAAATATAAACATAATTAATTATATTCATTTTGCACATAATAAAAAAAACATTTAAAATTAAGTATAATTAATATGCCACAATATACAATTATGTTTTTGTTAAAAGAAAATATAATAAATATTGAATATTTTAATAAATTATATTTATTAATATAGTAGTCGCACTAGATCATTGAGTTTCAAATGTAGGTCGCACTGACATTTAGTAATGCTATAGGTATATAGGTATTAATATTTGTAATAATTTATGATACATGGAACTCAATGATCTAGATTGCTAATTTAATCACTGAAACAATTGTTTGCTTTAATTTAAATATTTAATAAGGAAATACAAGTCTCTATGCAATTGGGGTTCAAATCAGGGGTTAATGGACTCAAGTTTAATGTCAATTCAGACGGTATTCAAATCAATTGCAAACTTAAAAGTTGTTATTTGTTTTATATTTGCCATATATTTCCCTAAGATATCATTGAGAGGTATATTGCGTTTGAATTGGAGAATGACTACGAGTGGCATGACTTCATCGATGGGTTTAATGATCGCTCAAAAGTGGTCAACAAAGACATCATATTCAGTGAGATTAGTGATGAAAACAGGAAAAAATTCTTGAAACAAATGAAACCCAAAATCAATGGCAGCCGTGAGGCGATCTCATCTCAATTTAGTCACTTATTAGCCTTATTTCAGTTCATTATTACTGTATATAAACTTTTGTTCATTTAATTATTAACTGATTTACAGGATATAAATTATTATATAGTGGCAAACATTAGTCCACTGCAATTTGTCTCAATATGATTAAGAATAATATAAAATTTTGTTGATAATAAATTTGAAATTTTATTAACATAATTTTGCGTATACAGTACTGTATGTGAATTTCTAATTTGGTCAGTCTTACAAACAATTCAAAATTGTTTTAACTAAAATTCTGGCCATTCGTTGATTTTAAGTTCAATGATAAACTGTTGCGAATACTAATGGAAAAATAATTTAATTTTAATTATTAATATAATACTTTAAATATATATATATATTCAAACCTTGGGTCGCGATTGCTCATGACATTAATGTTAATTTCATTTACATTACAATTAGTGCCCAATTGGGGGCTAATAGTAGCCGTTGTATTGAGTGGTAGTTGTTGTGGAGTTGTATAGAGAGTGGTGTATCCCTGACCACCATTGGTTGCAATTTGGTTGGCGGTACTTAAAGTTACCTTGAAGTCATTTCCATTTGACAGTTGTATATCAAACTGACCCGAACATGTATTCGCACCTGTATTCACCTAATATTATAAAGTCAATGGCATTATTTTTGTTTTAAAAATACTTGTCGTCAATCATATTCACCACAATCTGATAATGATACAAACAATAACCAGGCTCCAACACGTTTCTAGTATTGATGTAATACTTATTGTTAGTGTCAGTCGTATCCCAATTGGATTTGTTATCCCAATAGTTGAGATCCAATTCTATGGGACGACTGTCACTGCCATCAGCGCACAGACCGTTCATGAAGTTGTCATAAGAGTCGCACTTATAGGCAATGGGCTGACAGCCCGTGCTCTGGCCGTAGGACTGGTCGGCGACCGCGTATTGATTGGATCGGGTGTGGCTGCATATAAGCAAACTCAGCGCATCTATTCAGTTATTTGAATCAAATTCATTTTAAAAATTGCATTTATTTTGTAAACCAAAGTATTCATACCATTACTGACACCCGAGATACTGGTCAACGAAGGAATGAATTTTCCGTTAAATAAACCACAACCTGGCTGTCGACTACCTGGGTATTATATTTGAGAATTAATATTTAGTGATTATTTCAATATTTAGGAAATTATATAATATTATAAATTGATGTATTTTCTATATTTGTGTAATTTTATTTTGTATAATTGTCAAATACAATTTATTATTTTATGGTTAAACAATTAATAGCAATCATACCTCCATTAAAATAAGAATCAATGTTTCCCAGAGCATCCAAATCACCTAGGCCTATTTAAATTAATTATTTTGAAAACACGTGTTTCATTAACAATTAATTTTAAAACTACAGTTACAACACAAACCTTGTACTAAAGGTATACCATTGGGTGGAATTCCATTAGTATGTATGACATTAACAAAGCTGGCGTCACCGACAGCCAACCTATTCTCAGGGGGCTGTCCAGTAAACCCGGGGCCAGCCGGGTCAGTGGCCGTGATGTGGCCTACGTTATAGTTGGTTACGTGTTTGCCCGCAAATCCCACTATATGTGCGCCCAAACTGTGACCAATCAGATGGATGTCTTGCGGATCAACACCTAAATTAGCGGACAGTCTATTGATAACGCAACCAATCATTTGTCCCACAATTTTAGTATTGGCCGCCGATTGGAAATAGTCGACAGCTTTTGCCGGTTTAGACCAATCGATTGCCACAACATTAGCGCACGAGTTGTTCAAAATTACGTTTTTCATTTGCTGCACACAAATAATTAACAAACAATTTATAATTTATTGAAATTAGTATAATATCTAATGAAAGATTTCAAATACATTACTATGGATTTTTTAGATAAGCCCTTTATTTAAGATTCATATAATTGTTATAATTTTTAAAGGGTTTAACTATTTAAAAAATCCATAGTAATGAGTTTGAAATCATTTAACAGATATAACGATATTAAATAATTAATATGTGTTTCAATTGATTTTAGTATTAACATTTTTAAATATTAAACAAACCTCCATATAATTAACTCCAGTTGGGTTACCAGGGTACCCTTCGAGCCAACCATGAACTATAAATTTAGTCAGAGCACTGGCATTAAAACCGGCAATTGTCCATTCGTTAGGTTGGGACAGGTATGTCAGGTTATGAAAGTTATCCCGATTATTGCACGTGAATAACAGGAACTTCACGGCCATTTCATTGGGACTCATCGGCAGAATAGCAGTGAAATTGTTAATAAAACCATTGAATCCATTCGTATAATTGCCAAAACAGTAGTCAGATGTTGTGCCCACAGGGACCTTGCTTAGTAATGCTGTGCAAGAGTTATAAGAATTTTATTCTAGCACTTTTAAACAAATAATAAATGATTGTTTGAACCCAAATATGACTACAAACCTTGCGATCCCTCGAGAACACCTACCACTGAATTTTCCACCTTGTTGAGCTGAAAAAATATTTATTGAATAAAAAATTGATAAATATAAGAATATTTTCATAATTAAAACATACCACATCAGACAATAATTGCGAATTGCAAAATAATATGAAACTGAAAAATGTAATGATCTTGTACATTTTAAATAATATTATATTACTTGTGTTTCACACAAAGACTTGATTTAATATAAAAAATTAAAAGAATTTATACAAACTTTTATACAATTTTTGCGATCATTAATTCATACTATAATTGTGTAAATGTTATTAATTGATTTAGATTAATTTAATACAGGTCCTACTAGTACAGTATATTGTCTGAATACTATACTAGAATGTCTGAATTTTAAAGTATATAATGTATGAATGCTTCCGGCGATGTCATTTTGAACTAATTTTGAACTAATCTTGCACTTTAAATGATAATTAATTTTTGATGTATGATAATGAATTGTATTTTTAAAAATTTTAATATCTTGACATTTTAATACTTTAAAAGTAATAAATTAAAATGCACTTGTGAATGCACTAAATCAAATTATGAATCTAACGTAGGTTAGTAATTCGAAAATAAAATTATATAAATAGATAGCTCTATCATTTATCATTTAATAATTAGTAGACATCTGTTAAAATGACTTTAAATGTAATATTCTGTAAATGTAGATCCTAGATGGTTTTGGTTTAGTAGGAATGTCCTTTATCAAAAGTAAAATTTATCATTTCTGTAGATATTTTAGTATTCAGTATCATAATTAGATTTAATTTCAGTAAAAACTAAATTCCACTTGAGTCATAAAACGTTAAAATTATTAAAATTAGTTTTAATTAATTAGCAAGCATCTCTATGTTTATGTATTAAAGTGTAGTGTAGTGCAGTGAAGTAAGAATATGGAGTCAAAAGGGCTAGCAATTTCTTATACTAAATTGATAATCATAAATATTAATTTTAATTATTGTAATGTTATATGACTCAAGTGGAATTTAGTTTTTACTGAAATTGAATCTAATTATGATACTGAATACTAAAATATCTATAGAAATTATAAATTTTACTTTTGACAAGGGACATTCCTTCTTAGTCATATCAGAAAAAACAAAGATTTTTACAAACATAATTAATATAAACAAACTAATTTAATCTTGTGTTTGAACAAATTAATTCAGTCATGTGCTAAATGATTTATGTAAGAATAAAAACATATGGTAGACTTTTAAACAATTAAACAATTAATATTAAATTAAAAATATGACCCAAATATTGATAATCAAGATTTAATATATTAAATAATTTATTTTAGATTTTATAAATTATTTTCTAATTATGCCTTTGATAAAATTCCTTGAGATAATATTGTTTTAATTTTTGATTATTAATTCTGAATATTTTATTGATTAGATTTGTCAATATAGCCCTTTATTAAGAAATTGGGACATTATTTAAGATTATGAAAGATTAAACTCCTTGAAAAGAAATTTAAAAAAGTTAATATTATTTCAATTAATTAAGTTTAATAATTAAATTTATAAATCATTTTAATATTCACAAATTGTTGAAACATTCAGACAATGCCCTCGTGTTTGGCCATCGAGTAGAAGATGGAGTTCCTGTCTGTCAAGAGCTGTTCCGGAGGTCCGAACTCAGCGATGAATCCGTTGTCCAAAACCAACACTTTGTCGTAATCTCTGATTGAATTCAATCGGTGAGCGATCGTCACGACTGTCGACGACGCAAACTCTTCACGGATTGTCTTCTGAACCAAGTCATCCGTTTCCATATCGACCGCTAATTAACGCAAATATATATAATAATCACTATTAGGATGCGATGTCTGGGTGTATGTGATGGGGACAGACATACCGGCGGTGGCCTCGTCTAAGACCAGGACTCGGGTGCGTCTGAGCAGAGCTCTCGCCAAACAGACCAACTGTTTCTGTCCGACACTCACATTCTCGCCGTCGATAGAGATCTCGTGATTGAGTCCACTCTCAAGACTGTCCACAAATGTCTTCAGATGCGCCGACTCTAAGGCCCGCCATATCTGTTTGTCTGACCACTGATCCAATGGATCCAAATTGTGTCGCAAAGAGCCCGCGAAGAGTACCGGCTCTTGAGGTATGACTGTTAGCCGAGACCTCAAGTCATGCAAACCTATTGTCGAGCAGTCGATGCCATCGATACTAACC